ATTATCCAAATGGTATCAAATAATCAGTTTGGGAGAGCACCAAATTTACGTCTTGCCAATTTTCTAGAATTGTGTGCTACATTTAAATATGATGGAGAAAAAGTTATCTATAGAGGAAGTGTTGTTACAAATGGGAATTCAGTAACAAAGTAAGGGAGCAACAATTAGAAATATTGAGAATCAAATGGGACAAATAGAAAATTCATTAAGTAATTGATCCCAATGAACACTTTCTAGTAATACAGAAGTAAATCTAAAAGACCATAATAAAGAGCAAGTAAAAGTCATTTGCTTAAAAGTGGAAGAGAATTGGAAGGTAGAGTTCAAAAAGAGATTTAAGTAGAGAGAGATGAAATTGAAGAGCCATAAAGGGACGCTCCGAAAGGCTTAGAGAGACCTATTTCGCCACTTAAATTTGACTTGGAAAAACCACCACATTCATTTTCCCAGAGACTTCGTCAACAAAAATTGGATAAACAATTTTCAAAATTTTTGGAAATTTTTAAGAACTTACAATTAATATTCCATTTGCTGAAGCCTTAGAACAAATTCCAAGCTATGTAAAGTTTATGAAGGATATTCTTAACAAGAAAAGGAAGTTTAAAGATAATGAGACTGTTGCACTCAGTGAAGGGTGTAGTACTATAATTCAGAAGAACTTCACAAAAAGCTTAAAGATCTTGGAAGCTTCACAATTCCATGTATAATAGGAGACATATTTTATGGGAAAGCTTAATGTGATTTAGGTGCAAGCATTAACCTTAGGTCATTATCAATATTTAAAAGATTTGGATTAGGAGAAATATCCCCAACTACTATAACTCTACAGTTAGCAGATTATTCAATAAAATATCCTAAAGAAGTTATAGAAGATTTCTAAGTGAAAGTGGATTAATTTATCTTTCATGTTGATTTCATCATGCTAGATAAGTTGGAAGATAAGGAGATACCTATCATTTTGTGGAGACCTTTCCTAGCTATAGGAAGAGTAATGATAGAAGTACAGAAAGGAGAATTGACTATGCATGTCAATGATCAGACAATTACGTTTAATATTTCAAAATCAATGAAATATCATGCGAAAGGTAAATATGATGAATGTTGCAAAATCGATGCCATAAGATATCTGAACGAATGTCATTTCAAAATAACTTATGAAGAGAAATTTGAAATGAAAGAGTTGGAACACAAGCAAGAGGAATTAGATCAATTTGAAGATTTTTATAATGAAGATTTGAATTATGTTTGAGAAATTTTTGAAGTTTTGGACACGATAGAAAAAGATAAATCTTTTTGTCCATCGATTGAAAACCCTCCTGAACTTGTGTTGAAGACAATATGCCCTTTTAGGTGATTCCTCAACATTACCTGTTATAAATTCCTCAAAATTAACTACAGAAGAAGAAATGAGTTTAATAAAAACTTTGAAGAATTTTAAGAAAGCCTTTGGATGGACAATTGTTGATATTAAGGGAATAACTCCTTCAATTTATATGCATAGAATTCATATGGAAGAGAACTATAAACTTAGGGTTGATCATCAAAAGAGATTGAATCTTGTTATGAAAGAAGTTGTTAAGAAAGAAATGAAATTTTAAAGTGGTTAGATGTAAGTGGTTGGATGCTAGAATCATTTATCATATTTCTAACAGTGCATGGGTTAGTACAATTCACTATGTTCCTAAGAAAGGAGTAGTGATTGTGACTATGAATGAACATAATGAGTTAATACCAACAAGATAAGTCACAGGGTCTTGAATATGCATTGATTATAGAAAATCAAATCTCGCCATTAGGAAAGATCACCTACCTACTCGCATATAGAAAATCAAATCTCGCATTAGCTCTAATTTAAGTTATAGTTGCATTGTAAGTGAAGGAAGAGATTCAAAGGAACTTCAAGACTTTGGTGGAGAAAATTTGAGAGAAGTTTTTATTTTTATGACTATATTTGGTTTTAATTTAGACTTCTTGTTTGTTTGCATGATTTCTACTTTCAACCTTAAGTGTGGTTGTGTTTTCTCCATGAATTCTGAGTAGTTTTATTTATCCTTTTCCTTAAAATGATAAGTGATTAAGAATTGGATGGAAGTTGTGTGAAGTATTAGTCTTTAATGTTGGAAGAAGTTGTGATAATTTTAAACCTTATACTTCATTTACTTCTTGATTTGGCCAATTAAGATGTTAATACCTGTTGTGAGAACATGTAAGATCTGAGACTATATTGTCTCAGTCAACAAATGGTAAGAATCGCATGAGGTTATATGGATGAGAATGTAATTTACATGATTGAGTGCAAATAAATAAGAAAATAAACTTTAAAGGGTGTAGAATTAGAGAACTGTAGAGTGACAGGCTAAAACCCCAAATTTAATTTATAGTTTTAGGTTTTGATACTTGATGTTAGCCCCCAAGTGGAGGGAGAAGAGGCAACTCTAGAATGAGAGCCAGTATCTTCCCTACCTAACCCGTCTTCAAGACTATTCAAACTTTAAATTAGTCAATGTTCTTTATAACATCTCTAGTAAAGGTAAAGAATATTATTGATCATATTTGGCACAATACAATTTGAATACTTCCACAACAGAATTTCTATACTTGTGACTGAATCATGATAAGGAAAAATATATTTATTTATATTGTCTTCATCTTATAAATATATAGTTAAATTTAGTTAGTTGTTTACATTACTTTCAAGTATAAAAAATTACAAAAAGAATCAAATTTTCATTCTTATTGTAGCATCTATAGTTTGAATAAGAATAATTTGTTAAGTAAAATTTGTTATCTAATTCTTCAAATTGTAGTTGCATATTGTTAATTGTCTCAGTGGGTTCGATATTTGAGGCTTAATCAAAAGGTCTTATATTACTTGATAATGATACGTATACTTGTGTAGTATCTCATATTTAAATATAATAATTTTATTCTTATTTGCTTCGAAGTAGAGTTTTTGCCTAGCTGTTGCTAGTGATCAAGTTTTTGGCGCCGTTGTAAAGTAAGAATTATAAGTAAGAAAAAATTAAGAATTTTATCGCATACATCGCATTGGCATATAAAAGTCGGGATCAGTAGTTTCGTTTGTCTTTCTCCCTGCAATGAGGAATAATTATGTGTAGGAATGTAGTTTAGTAAAAGTGCTTCTAAAATTCCATAAATTGTGATGATTCAAATGCTATGTTTCATTTACTTGTCAATCTGACCAATTGATTTGTTAAAATTCGTTCTAAAATGCAGTGACCTATTGCTATAGCCTTTGTTCCAACATAGTAAGAATAACATTTTGTCTCATGGATGAGAATGTAGTCTTTAAGGTTAAGTGCAAATAAATAGACAAATAAGTTTTGATGAGTGTAGAATTGGTGATTTTAGGATGACAGACTAAAATCCCCAAATTGGTCTAGATGTTTGGAAATTAAAGCAAGATGTTAACCCTCAAGGGAAGGGAAGTGAAAACTCTAGAGTGAGAGCTAGTATCTTCTCAGCCTAACCACGGGTTTAGGGACCAAACTCTAGATTAGCCGATGTTCTTTATACACATGACCGAGGGTAAGGAATCAAATTGTTCCTATTTGGCACAATACCTTTGTTATATTTTAAAATTATTTTCGTACACTAATTATAAACTCATTGCAAGGGGAAAGATGTTTTATACAAATTTAAACTCTTCGAACATTATTAGTTTAGAGTAGAAGTAACTTTGCATTTTAAAACTCTTTTTAACTATTCTTACAATTACATTTACATTTGCTTAGCATACTAGCATTCCTCTAATATTATAAGATTAGATATTTCTAAAAAAACGTGCGATCATTTCCTACATAAGTTTTTATACAATTAATAATATGTTTTATTAAAGTCAATTATATAATAATTTTGGTTTTTTTCCCCGTGGAATCGAAACCATGACTTTTAAAGAAAAATATTATATTACTTGAAATGATATGTAAACTTACGCAGTACCCATAGTGTGTGAATATTTTCTATAATCTTTATATAATATTTAATTTTACACATTAGCCGCTAAATACAAATTGGGTCGAGTTTCTTTGCCGCATCTTTGAAATTACATAATTGTATAACTATGGGTAGAGTCAGACTTTCAAAAAAACTACACTACTCACCAACGGATCAAATCACACACACAAATCTATTTTTTCACATTTATATTACACCTATCACCTAAATTTTCACATGTATAAGCACGGCACAAATCATTAGTGTTATATCTAAAATATCACTATTATTTAATTTTAAAAATAAAATTCAATTTTTTTTGTATACTTTGACATGAAGTTCTTATAAATATAAATAATACATAAGAATCCCCACCCCACTTCTCCCTCTCCCTCTCTCTCTCTAGCTATGAATTACCAATCTATGAACGTTCAATCATACCAATCTGTGACCGTTCAATCCTCATTGAACAACTGAATTGAATCAGTTTGAAGCCAACTGTTACTAACGCGCAAACAACGAGCATGTAACCATATTTTTAGCATTAGCGAGCTGCTTTAATCACCGTTATTTTTAAATAATAAAATTATAACTAATGTACTATCTACTTTAATGTCATTTACATTTTCATCAAATCTATCAGCATCTAAACGGCAGCTATCCAATAATCAAATTACTTCAAAATATAAAAAAAAAAAACACAATTTTCTTTCAAAATTAAATTACTTTAATAAAAAAATAAATTAAATATGCTACCGGGAAAAAAAATAATGTTTTTTTTTAGTTAAATAGCATTTAAACCAAACCGATCAAGACTTAATTTCCAGCCATCCAAGGGAACTCAAACGGCTAGAATCTGCTCATTGCTGGCCAAGTGTATTCAACCTTGCCTTCAGTGTCATGTAGCATTAATGGTAGGAGCTTACAGCCGTCAATTTTTTTTTGAAAAAAATTATGCAGATGCAAATGCAATAGAGAAAATATGCAAGCAGTGAATCAATTTTTGGACTCAACAAATTTTAATTTAGATTCTAAATCCTATGTGAAGCAATTGCACTGTTTAACTAAACAACAATTAATGTATTTACGCACATCATTAACATTAACAAATTTATAAGCCACTGATTTAAGGAAAAAATATTGAGAAAAAAAGGCATGCTCAGAAAAGATGAAGAACAAACAACTGCACAAGCAATCAAACAGAAAAAAATACTTCATCCAATACGAACGGACTAATACGAAAGCATCCGACGCCGTCATCTACAAATGTGGAGAGTCCGTTTTGAATAATTGTGATTTGTTATATAGCTGCCCTCATGGCGCCACGAGCTGCTTCACGCTTCATCGCTGCAGCTTTCCCGCTTCCTCTGAAGTACATGTATACTTGCTGCACCAACCAAGGTTTGATTGAACACGTTATTTAGTTCAAATGTTCATAACCAAAATGCATGCAAATTTCAAAAAATAATTAATTAATTAATTAATTAAAAAAAATTAAAAAAATGTTGACATGGCTAAGGTTATAAGAGAAAAAAAAAAAGAAAGCTCATTATTCAACTCAACAGAATATATATATATATATATATATATAATCCAAAAATGCCTTGTGGATCACTACCAAGACTTAGAGCGTTGAACGAATGAAAAGAATAGAGAGAGAGAGGGAGAAAAAAATATAGTGAAACATAAGTTTTTGGAGAATAAATTCAGAGATCTTTATTGATCTAGTGAAGTTACATGTTTATCCCTGTTTTAATAGGGACGTTGCAAGTATTTCATATTTGTAACTAATTATAGGATCCTTCAATGTTTGTAACTTATGTTGACACTGTTTCAAATTTATAACTGCTTGAATAGGGGTATTTAATAGCCCGATGTCATTCGGTCGCCTAATAGCCGTTAGATTGGTTGGAATGTCTTCAGTCAACATTCTTTAGAGAATCCTAGTAGACGCTCTTATGCCATTATAGTGAACTTAAGACTATCAGGCAAAGGTATTACTGCAATCTAGCAGACAGCTCTCCTTTGAATAAAAGGCCTTCACAAAGGACCGTGCAGATAGTCAATGAGGGGCTCATTTAGCCATCTTTGTGGAGAATCCCAGAATCAGTTGAGAGACCTAGATATAGATAATCATTCTTTGGATCAGGTGCTTCAGGTCCTTTCATTCGGCTATTTTCGTTCAGTTGGCCCATTGTTCCGACCAAGAGAAATGATGCTTGGCATCTCCATCTTTTGGCTATTCTGACAGTCCCTCGGTGTTTACTTAGCGAGATCTACTGAATTCTGTCCATATTTATGCGCTCATATTTTTTTACGTACAGAATTAGTTCTCTGATTCTTAATTCTTGAAAGTGACAACAACAATAAAAATAAGAAAATTAAATTCAAAAGTTAACTTATTTACTACGTAAGTACTTTTAATAATTGAACTCCCAAAATTTTCATGCATGTATTCCCTATAAATAGGGTGTGATCCACACTTTTTCATCACCATTTCCAAATTTTAAACCCTTCAATCAATTTTTAACAGAGAATAGTGATGGTGAGTGACAAGAAACCCGCGGACGAGGAAGTCATTTTGAAGGCCTTCGAGCTTTTGACCGAAAAAAAAACTCTGTCATCTAGCAAGAGAGAAAAAGAATAAACTCAAAAATACGAGGCCAAAAATAAAAATGAAGCCGCAAATGATGGCCAACCGACGGGAAAGAAACCTGAGGGCAAGGGACGACCAATTAGATGTAAGAGGCCGGGTGGGTGAGGGGAGCCGACCAAAGGGAATGAAGTTGATCAAGCAAGCAGTAAAGAAAAAACAAATGATGGAGGTGGTTGATTCATCTAACTCATTGCCTCTCCGTGAGATAAGGAGCGAAACTGAGGTGCACTACACTGGTGCATCAGTCCTTGCTCCGGATTCGATCTACTAGCGGTCGACAGTTCAGTCGAGTCAGCAACGTGTTCAGGTGATCGCGATGACCCATGTCTAGTCTCGCGAATGTTTGACTCTCCTGCCTTCAGTCAGCAAGGACAGCCAGGCCGCTTTTCCAACTGCTTGCTGGCGAGAGCCACCGCACATCTGAGTTGGAGAGAATAATTGGTACAAGGAAATCCCATAGGCGATAGATTTATTCATTTTCTCGTTCAAGAAATCTGATTATTTTGCAGATAAGACTGCACATCATTTACACCCCAACCATAGAAGTTGACCAACCCTCTGTTCCAGCCCAATGTGGAGTTGCACATAGCCATTTGTCGGGCCCCGATGACATCAAGAGGGTAACCAACGGTCGGCGGGGTTTGCAAGGGTCACTGATTCACTGCATGGACGAAATGGTAGATGGTGATATGGGAGACAACTATGCGTTGATATGGCTCCTCTTAGGATGTTGGCTTTTTCAGAGGGAGACAGCTATGCGTTGATATGGCTCTGCTTAGGATGTTGGCTTTTTTAGAGTGAGATAGTCATATCTGACCAAAAGAAGCTGGTAGTCCTCTATGTTGATATGGGGACCCTCCAGGCGGAGGTGGCTACTTCTAGACAGAGCTAGCAGAAGTTTGGGTGACTAATTCGATCTCACGATTCTGAGGAATGAGGGTGTAGAGAAATTTAAGTTTGGGAGGCATGCGTTGTACTAGAGTCTTGCAAGTCTGCATTTGGTATTGCTCGAGGTGGCCGAAAACCAATCTCTAAAATAATTTATCATAAATAAATATAAACTTAATTTTCGCCAATTTTCACATTTTTTCATTATTTGTTTTCTTGATTTTCACGCCTATTTGATGTGAATCTTAGAAGATAGAGGTACAAATTTGAGGTGTTTCGATTTCCTTTGATACCTTATATATATAGGATTGAAGGGAAAGTGATTTTGCGCTCTTATTTTTCACATTTGCTTTCCTTCGTTCAGTTTTGCTTCAACGTCCTCATGGCCTCCAAGTATTCTCCAAATCTATTTAACTTGGTGTCAGCGACCAAAAGGTCCACACTGACATTGTTCGACCTGGGCCTTCTGGAGGATAATTGTGCTTCTAGCACAAGTGTAGTACTTGAGGTGGTCGAGCCAAAGGTGAAAACGACCGAATTCTCGGAAGAAGAACTGCTCTTTTACCAGAATTAGTTTCGATGGGGACTCTAGCTGCCATTCTACCTAGAGATCTGATCAATACTCAAGCATTATGGAGGCATCCTCATCCAGATCAAAACAAACTCGAACGTGTCGGTGATAATGTTCGTTGTTTATTTGAGGTGAATGGAGATCCTGTGGTCTTGTGAGTTGTTCTCCTATATGCTATCCTTCATGATGGAGCCAGATGGGTACGTCGTTTTCGGCTCGACTTGGAAGTTCCACTTAATCGACCTGGAGAATAAGATCAAGGACTTGAAGTACTGATTTCTTGAAAGGTACGCAAGAATTAGGGATTACCAGGCCGATCGGAGGGCCTTACAAGAAGAAGAGGATTCCACTGTAGATTCAGGGGCTTGCATCGACTGTCTTGGGTAAACAAATGACAGTTATCCAGTACACCGACCCCATGGCAATGAATCGGGTGCTAGACCCTGCCAGGTTCGACCAAATGACCCTTAAATTGTCGACCACTTCCAACGAGGCGAATAAAAGCCAGTTTGAAAAAGTTGCTTGATTGTTAATGAAAGAGCTGGGAAAGAAGAAAGGAGGCGCTTCCTCGTCAAGCATAAGACAGGCCGAAGAAGAGAACGCACAGGTTCGGAATTAATTCACTCTGTTTTTGAAACCATATATGTTATTCAAAATAAATTCATTGCGAGTTAATTCTAATCAAATGAAAACCTTCTTTGATACATTTAGGGGCTCCAAAAGATCACCACCAAGAGGAGTTAACTCCCACCATCCTTGGATTTGACGTTGAGGAGTCATCCGAGCGTCCGTAAACACAGAGCTTCTCAGCCACCTTCCTTGGACTTCATTCCTTTCACTGAAAGGGGGAGGCCAACCGGCCCTCTCCGCGGTCCCCAACTGCACCTGCCGGACAAGTGGAGGCAGAAGGTCTTGAAGAAGCTTTGGCTGAAGAGGAGCTTGAACCAGCTGAAGAGGCAAATGAACAGTATCGGAGAAAGAGCTAGGCCCTGACACCAGATTCTAAATCTTCCTTCCCCTCACCTCCCAAGGAAAAGAAGAGAGGCAAAAATTGTCGGAATCCATTACAAAAGAAACGACCAAAGGTCTTTCTTAATTCAGACTCAATTTTTGCACTAATAAACATCGAAAGGTACTGGTTTCCCCAAGCCCCGGGGATGAAGAATATGTCTCTACCATCGCAGATGTTTTTTGGCCAGAGAGCCTTACAAAGTTTTTAAATAATCTCGGACATGTGGAGCTATGTCACATGGTCGACCGATATCAATTGATCAGACTTGCCGCAACACAGCATCTATCCTTTGTTTAACTGGATATGAGAGATTGGGCCTTGAAGGTCAACGCAAAGGCTATAGAGTTTAAAGCACGAGCATGAACGACAGAGAATCATGTGTCTGTGGTAGAGGCTCGATTAGAGAGTGTTGAAGCGGAGCTGGAGATAGTGGCTGAGCGGGTGTATGTCGTCGAACAAAAAAATGTTGTACTATCGAAGCAAATGGCCACAATGAAGATGGTCAAAGAGTTTCTTGAGACTCAAGTTGTGCATTTGAAAGAGGGGACTAAAGTGGCGATCGACCAATTCGTCGGAGTTGGGATAGTTTGACCCAAACTATTCTGACAATGATGAGTTTAAGAAACTCTTCATTGCTCTCTCAGCTTCAGAACACCAAAAGCATTCAGAGGGCGATAACGAGGTGGACGTCGGATCGTCCATCACTCGTTCAGGGGATTCCTAGACTTAGGATTCCTTATTTTTGTATGTGTGTGTGTGTGTGTGTGTGTGTGTGTGTGTGTGCGCATATATATACATACATATTTATGTGTATGTGTGTGACCAAGTAAATCTACATGAATGATTAATGAATGAAATACAAGGTCGCTTTTACATGTTACCTTTTGCTCACTAAATTATGGCGTTACTTTGTTTGATACTCCTTAGTCGATTTTGAAATATTCTTTGCACAGCTCAAGTCTTAAAATTTGTCGCTTGAGCACTGAGAGTCAATTTCCAGTTTGTGTACGTCAATCGGATACCGTGTTCCTGCTGTCAATTGTTTAAATTTTTTTTTAACTGCTCAGATAACATATCACATTAGTTTATTTTAGGTTGTCAATTCTTACCTAGACAGACCTATGTTTTAGTTATTTGACTATACCCACATATTCTTTCGATCGCACTACTCAAAGGGGGTAGTCTGCAATATTTTTCTAGGGTGATTCTCGATTCCCTTCTCGGAACTTTGTTACTACCCGGCGAGAAATCATCTTTAGA